TCTCCTGCAAAGAACAAAAGCTGTAATAAAGACAAAGAGTGGACACACCACACACTGAAAAGTTGATATTATATTCAGCTGTTTTAGTCTTTTAATTTTCTGTTAAACATATGTTTTCTGCCTTTTCTGACACTGAAAAATGAATAACTTGTACATAATGGCAGTTTAGACTGAAAAAATAAAGGGTGGTCTACAATTTTTGCACCATACTATATTCCTAATTGCTTATTCACTCTATACAAACGACCAGAACAGTCATATTGAAGCATGGCCTCAGAACAGGAGAACAGCTGAGTTCTCAACATCTAAATGGCATGTTGTGTATTATTACAATGATATTTCAATGATAGGGCTTACAAGCAAGGTTAATAGGACATGAGTACACAAGCAAAGAATATATATATATATATCTATATATATATATATATATATATTAAAAATATTATTGTTATTATTATTATTATTATTCCTCATCAAAAAATGTATTAAACTTTTATGAATGTATATTCATAATAAGGGGTTCAAGGTTTTCCTAATGACTATAAAATCAATACATTTTTTACAGGGACACTCAGGAAACTATGTTGCTAAAATGGTTCTTTGGAAGTTTTAATCCTTTGCCAATGTAGCCCACTGACCTCTGGTTTAAGCCTCCTGGCAGAACTCAAATGAGTAAATGAAGCCGCGATCACTAAAATATGTGTCGGATTAATTAACTGGCATACCACTCCTGTGAGAAACTTTACAGGTAGATGAAAAATATCAAAATTACCATTTAAGCTTTCCTCTCTCTCTCTTCCACTCCCAGATTCCTCCACTGTCTCTCTCTCTCCCTCTCTTTCCTGAGTGTTTTTCTCTCTAAACTTTTGCATACAACTGCGTGTGTGTGTGTTGCCTCTGTAAGCAACATCAGCAAAAGACCTGCGCTTTAGAAGCTTCATGAAATGGGTTTCCATGGCCAAACAGCTACACACAAGCCTAAGATCAAAATGCACAATGCCAATGTCGGATGGAGTGGTGTAAATCACGCCATCACTGTACTCTGGAGCAGTGGAAACATATTCTGTGGAGTGACGAATCACGCTTCTCTATCTGGCAATCTGATGGACAAGTCTGGGGTTAGCGAATGCCAGAAGAACATTACCTGTCTGACTGCATTATGCCAACTGTAATGTTTGGTGGAGGAGGGATAATGCTATGGGGTTGTTTTTCAGGTGTTGGCCTAGACCCCTTAGTTCCAGTGAAGGGAAATCTTAATGCTTCAGCATACAAAGATAAAGACATTTTGGACAATTGTATGCTTCTAACTTTGTGTGCACAGTTTGAGGAAGGCCCTTTTCTCTTTTAGCATGACTGCGCCCAAGTGCACAAAGCAAGGTCAAGAAAGGCATGGCTGGTTTGGTGAGTTTGACCTCAACCCCATCTAACAACTTTAGGATGAACTAGAACGGACACTGTGAGCCAGGCCCTCTCGTCCAACATTAGTGCCTGACCTAACAAATGCTCTTCTGGATGAATGGGCAAAAATGATCATAAACACACTCAAAAATTTTGTTCGACAACTTCACAGAAGAGTGGAAGCTATTATAGCTGCAAAGGGGGCCCAACTCCATATTAATGCCTATGGATTTAGAATGGGATGTCATAAAAGCTCCTGTAGGTGTAATGAGTAGGTGTCCCAGTACTTTGTATTATATATCTATATATACGCACATATACATACAGGTGTCAGAGAGAAGGGCAGAAACACACACACGTGCACACATATATATCTATATATGCACATATACATATCTATATACACACACACACACACACATATATATATATATATATGTGTGTGTGTGTGTGTGTGTGTGTGCGTGTGTGTGTGTATATAGATATGTATATGTGCGTATATATAGATACATGTGTGTGCGCGTGTGTGTTTCTGCCCTTCTCTCTGACACCTGAGCCCTATTCCCTATTGGTCATGAACTCTTTTTGGAATAACAGGGTGGTCTGGTCTGCACTCTGCTCTGTGATCCTGTGATAAACACACACAGAGCAGTGTGGTGTGTGCAGGTGTGTACTTTAGCTCTAATGCGGGTGGGATTCACAGAGGCATGCTGAAATGAGGCCCTCTGAACAGCCAAACAAGCAGAAAGTGCTGACTGCAGCCCTGCTGCTGGTACGCTCTTTAAGAGCGGCTGATCTGCCAGAGACAGTGGTCACACGCATGGCTGTTTGGCCACGTGCTGACCGCACGGCTCCCTGCTATTTGAGGAAGGGCTGCAGACAAGACCCAAGGCTGAGTGAGACTGAGACTTCATCCACACGTAGCCAGATATTTCTGAAAGCAGATTTTTTCCTCCTTTGGGAATTACATTGCCATAAAATCCCCAATGTCAGTGATATCCTGTTGTTATTGTAAGTCATGTGGCAGCTCACTTCACTACCTTGTAAACATTATGTGATCACTAGCTTGCTTTGCTACAAATCATCCACATTTGGAGAGTTGGCTCAGAATTAGTCTGCTAGTTCATATGAGAATGCATTTCTATTACTGTTATTCAGTTTATAAAGTAAACATACTGCTTTGTTCAGAACGGTTCGAGCTGTCGCATATTTGCAAATATTCCCATACATTTAAAACTCTAATTAGAGCCAAAATAGATTGTATGGTCAGTAATGTCATGTTTTCCCATGCTTTTAATAGCCCTCATTTGTGATAACATTATGTAACTTCTGGCCTGGAAAGTACTGGTAGCCACATTAGATAGCTTTTAACAAATGGAAATGTCCTTCATTTAAATATTGATTTTTAATGAATTTGAATATTAGAGCCCTGATGGGATCTAATGCAGAGAGAAAAAAAAAATCCAAACTATCCATATATGTGTATTTAGAGACTGTTACCTGCCTATGTCCTTCGCGCTATACACACACTGCTGCTGGCGCTGCCAGTGGTTACAGTTACAAGCTTTTACAAAATAACATTTAGAGAACAGTAAGAGAAACCCAGGCCAAACCTGAGCACTGTCCTCAGTGAGAGGAATTTTAAAAGGAGCACTACCATCAGGCCCGGGTCCAATGGGTTTTATGGGCACGTGCCCAGGGGCCTAAGCCGCTAGAGGGCCCCTGCGAGCAACTATGAGAAAATCTAAACAGCTGTTTTGACTAACTGTGGGAGCTTTACTAGCAGCACAGTGAAAAAATGAACTAATTTCAAATTTATCGATGTGTTATGGCTGATAATAATCACGATGCTGTCCACTCTTTCCTGAATGTCCACTTTATTTCCTCCTCCAATCACGTAGCATCTGTTACACTATCCACCTTTGCCTCTGTGAAGCAGTGAGCTCAGTTCATGTGAATGTACTTTGAATTTGAAGGTCCAGACATACAAAAATGTGCCTGAACTATCTGTGAAAGAGATCTGATACTTCACAGAGTAGAGGAAGCCCTTTTCCAAAGGCAAATATAAAACGTCAGCCACTATGGTAAAGAATAAAGTTGATTAGTCCTTGACGGCAGTGATCTGCAAACTGTCATCAGTGATAAGATAAAAATGGAATAAAAAATCCACCACCGCTGTGACAGTAACCTTTAGCTAGGATGCTTGACGGTTCGGGTTTTTACGTTTGCTGCTTTCTTTCATCCTTATTGTGTACATTTTAGCTCTGATTTAGTAGATCTCATCTTCATTAGGCTAAATGTGTTGCTTGTAAAGAGCAGACACATGCTTTATGGAAGCGTTGCATTGGTTGTTGGGTTTATGTTAACCTGTGTTCTCATTAATGTGAGGGTAATCTTGTTTTGTTTTGTCCCAACTGGTACTAAAAATTGTGCTGTGGTGACGTGCCCAACACTGCAGTTAGCATGCTGCTATTGTGGTGCTGCACAGGCCTCATATAGCCTGCTGTGATATCAGAAATAATCCCTGACCACCCAAAAAAGTAGCCAGGTAGTGGTCTACCAAACATTTGTGCCTAGAGGCCAATAAGTTGATGAGTCAGGCCTGACTCCCGTTCAGTGTTCAAAACTGTGGAATCACTGTTTTTTATTTATTTAAAAGCAAAAAATGCAACGCGTCCAGAAAGAGCTGTAATAGATTCTGTTATTAAAAAAGCTATATTAAGTGTAAGGAAATAAATGTCCAGAATTTCTCATCATTGAAACGCAGTAATTAAAGATAAATGATACAAGAAATAACAATAAATATCAAGAGATCATTTGTTGTTCCCTGAAAATAAGTATTAAAAAACATCTTAAAAACTTTCATGGTGTCCAGCTTATACAGTCATATGTAAGAGTTTGGACACCTCTGGTCAAATTTCAAGTTTTGTTGATTTTCTACATGAAAATAGCACATCCTTTACAGAGAACATACAATTACTGTTTATTTGCTAAATTTAACACATTGGGGAAAACAATACACATAAAATATGGCCTGTGCAAAAGTTATGGAACATTTCATTTTATATTCTAGGTTTTATTTCCAATATGTTAAACTTGCTGCACTAACATTTGCAGAAAAATGCCATACTTAAGTACATTCCATGTAGATGATGGGTTAACTTATTTTCACTTTGAAAATTAACAAAACAATTTGACCGGGGTTGCATGTGACTGGATTATTTCAATCTAAACTGTATGAGTTATTCTGTGAATTATTTAATGACAATTAATAATAACAAGTGATTTCTATCTTTTAAACATACGTGAGCACTTTCTTTGATAATGTCCCTATAATCTGGAGATGCCCCACTTCAATATGAATGTGTTACACATTCACAGTGAGTGGCCTAATGCTGTATATAGTGTTGATAATGACATGCTATATTCAGAATAAAAGACAAAAGCTCTGAGATCAGTACTGGAAGCAAAGGCCAGACTGTGTAGATTAGCCTCTGCAGCCTTCTTACTTAGCCTCATCAGTAAAGTAGTTTGTGCACAAATATAGGTAAGCATACAGAGATCTTTGAAGCGAAGAGAGTGTCACTGAGGCAAGACTTTACCTGCATTGTGCTTGGCTAGATACTTGTCTTTGTACTGCTTCTTTTTCTTGCCAAACCAAGTGCAGCTGGCTTGCTGTTCCTGCTTCGTTTTCTCCATTGCTATACAGGCCACCCGCCTTGAAAGGAAGGGAAAAGATGTTTTAGAGGACAGTTTCAGCTTTTCTTCCATCTGCTACTGTTCATATCACATAGAGGCAACCTACATTATTGGCACCCAGAGCTAAATCCCAATCTAAACCCTGAGAGCAGCAAATTGTTAGCCAGAGAATGGCGAAGTTGATTAACTCACCACTCCTGCAGCTCTGGTGAAGGAATTAGGCCAGCTGTGCCGTTTTTTGCATTCTCCAACCTGCCCTGCCACCAGTTATGGTCATCCTTGTTGATGATCTGGATGATGTCTCCCACTCTGAAGCGAATTCCTGCTTCTTTGCAGGGGATAAGGTCGTCTTTCACCGGATCGTATTCGAATTGTGCCCGCACGTAGATCTGAAGGAAGAAAGACAGTAAGGGTCACATGATCCTTCATATACGGCTTATGAAAGTAAAAAAAAACAGTAAGTAAAATGACACAGAGAGAGTCAGAGAAAGAAAAAAGAAGAGCAGTTAGTCTTGGTGGTATCAAGTCTTTGTGACTATTTTTTGTACATGTATGATTGAATGTGCATGGAGGCACGAGTACATGGGTGCAATGGGCCGATGGGCAGAAAAGCAGCTGAGCAGCACAGCAGGTCATAGGGGAGTCCAGCTCAGAGTAACACCTGCAACATGTTGCCACGGCAGCGGCCTGCCTATGGGACTCGGGCTAGAGTGACGTGTGTCCACCAACAAAAACAAAACTTCTGCAAAAACTGAAATTAAAGCAGAGCGCATGATACATGACTGCCTTAAAGGGGTATATTTTTTTTAACTATACAATCCTGTGTACAATAGAGGTTCCTTAACTAAACATTACAGGGCCCACATTCTACACGTTTCTTGTACAGTGTTTTTAAAAACAGCAATAATTCATATTTCCAACTTCTCTTTATCTCTTAGAATTAACCTGTTTTTGTTACTGTACTTTTAAGATTGATTTACGTAAATGTACTCATTCAAAAGGCAGTCCAAGCTGAAACTCTCCTTCAGTGTGAAACTCACTCACTTGCCTTAAACTGTAATATAAAATTGTTTCTGACACTGACATTATCTATGACAATGGACAAAAGTGCACTGAGTAGCTAAAAACAGCACTAGCAACCATCTTAAAACCTGAATTTTGTTCATTTTAACCTCACACTTTCACGTCAGAGGTGGGTTTGTGAGATCTATGTACATAGTATCATGCCAACTTTTAAACATGCCACACTTTTATTTTGATTCATACAGAATGGGATTTTGGACTCTATCAGCTAATAATACAGCTTAGCATAGAGCCTTACACTGACTGATCTTTCCTGCTTGATTGATGTGGTGATCTATACGTGAGATCAATACACTAATTGTGCAAAATAAAGGTAAAGTGGTAAAGATGTTATTAGGCTACCAAAGGACAATAAATCAACAAGTGTTAACTGGGTACAGCTAATGTCTGGGGAAGTTAGAACTGAGAAAAAAAGAACATAACATGGTGGCATCACCGACACATACTTAGTGTGACGCAGTTATTCCAGTACTGATGAGATCAACTGTGCCATCTGCTGGACACTTGGCTCTCCCCCTCTCAGAGTTATATGACAGAACAGTACGTAAAAGTTGTCTAGAAATATGTGACTTACAGCATTAATTTACATGAAAAAAATGGAAACTTTAATTAACAAAGCTAACAAAATGATCAATCTGTGTTGCTAATTAAATTAGTATGCTGCCTGTCAAAACTCTGGGGACTCTTTCACTTTCTTTAAAGTTTTCTTTTGATTTTCACTGTTACTTTTCAATTAAGTGAGAAAAAAAAAAACACCTGCAAAGCTTGCATTAGTCTCCGACTCTGGTATCCAGTACAGGAACTAATTAATTGAAAACATCTACTTTGAAATGTTATTCTCACTGCTGCTTTATGGTGCACCAACTGTTGACACAGCTGTTCAGCTGCACACACATAGTTTGTACAATCTTCATAGAAAAGCAGTGCCAGTAGAATGGCATGTTCTGGGGCAGCCGAACATGAGCCTAAGGTCACCATGCCCAACTCCAAGTGTATAGAGCTCCCCAGCATTGCACCGTGGAACAGTGGAACTGTGTTCTCTGAAGTGACAGAGCTCCGTCCAGTACCTTTGGGATGAGTTGGAGTGGTGTTTGTGATCCAGAACTAAACAGCAAACATGAGTACCTTATCTCACTAATGCTCTTGTGGCTGAATGCAGTCAAATCCTCACAGCAATGTTCAACATCTAGTGTAAAGCCTTCTCAGAAGAGGTTAACTGCTAGTTAAGTGCTGCAATCCATGTGCTACTTGAGATGCTTTTAAGATTATTGTTATTAATGTTTATGACAGAATGTGCTTGCATCCTCTGTGGAATACAGTGCAATTTGCCACAGTTGTAAAGTAGATGGAGAAAGGGCCACACATCACTCTTTTAGGCAGGGAAGCGAGCAGGGTTAGGGCTGAAACTGTACAATGCAGACCTGGAACTGTCAGTCCTGTCTTTAACAAGGCTGAAATTCACCTGAGGACAAACTGATAATGCTCTCAATACCAGAGCAGTGGATAAATCCACAATAATCCATAATTACATGAGAATGTTTTTGACCTAATTGTGCCCAATGTCTCTGTTCACATCGGTGCCAGTGGGCTATGACTGTGCCCTAACCTCATTCTTTTTTTGTTGTGCAGTAAGCAATTATAATGTATAAAATGATAAACACAAATGAAATCTACATCAGTCTGTCCTCAGGAGTTTAAACTCTGTTAATGAAAAGCTGGAAATCCAGAGTTAGCTGCTGCATATGGAGTAAGTAAAAGAGCATTATGAATGGTTAGTCAGACAGCTTAATTTGTTAGTAAAACACTCACAATCTTTAACACACTGACCTACACACATACCTGCTATGGCCTGACTGATATTAAAATTCTCTCAAAAATACTAATATTCATACTGATAATATTTTTTACCACTGAAGAAGCTAAATCAAATATGTCAGGCCTAGATAACATTAAGTTAAGAAGTAGGCCCATATCAATTTTAAGGAACTTAAAAAACAGAAATGGTCATATTAGCTGATATAATTGAGTTTGATAATAAAATAAATAGAGTTTGATTGTTTTAGTTAAATAGTGCTTTACTGACTAACATGATTGTCAGCTGATAACTATTGGTACCAAATATCATACATATTAATAAACAGAAGAAACTCACAAGTACTTATATAAATATGTATACTATAGCAGGGACAGATGAGGCTTTCTAGAATTTTTGCTCAATAGAAGTGAACATGTGGTGACCACCTGTTTAACTGTGTCGAAACTGATTTTTCTCACTGGTATATGTGATAGTTACTGGCACACTGCAAAAAAATGCGATCTTATTAAGTGATTTTAAACTTATTAAAACTTTTAACTTATATATCTTATTTCTAGACATTTTTGCTTGTTTTAAGTGATTTTAGGAAGTCAAACTATCTCACTATAATGGCATATAATTCTGCTTATCAAGCATATTTCTTACAACAAGCAAAATTGTTGTACTAAAACCTCTTAAAACAAGTCAAAAATGCCTAAAAAAACATTATATAACCTTATAATAAACTTACAATAATCTCAAAGTGAGAAATATTACATATATTGGCTAGATTTAAGAAACATTCATTTGAAAAGTGCAGTGCCAACATTTATGTCAGTCGGGCACTAATAGATACACAAACACACAAACACACACACACACACACACACACACACACACACACAGTGCCAAGCATGGAGGGATGCTAAAGCTGGAGAGACAGATGTAAGTGAGGGATGTTCTATTCACCTGACGTCCTTTTGGTTGGATGGTCGACGGCAAGTCCTGTAAAACAAAGCCAGGCAGTGAAAGAAACACTTTTTCCCCCACATGGTTGGAATCATTTAATCAAAATCAAAAACACTGACAAAAGCACACATCAAATCAACAAAAACACACCATGTTGCTCTATTCCTTTGAGTGTATTCACCGAATCTTATGTAATTCCAGCTAAAATTTTTATGTAATAAAAGAGCATGACAGGCTGTTGAAGGTAGGTCTCAGAACAACAAAGCAAGAGGAAGCAGAGAGCAAGCAAGCGGCCACAGCATCACAATCTGTCCAAGCACACACTGAACCCTGACTGGAGACAAGCCTTCCCCTAAAGAGCCTAACAAAGTCTGGCGTTCCACAGGGTTAAAGTCTTGGGCATATGCACCTTTAAATGAATCAGACCCAGGCCATTCATGCTCAATCTAGATTAGAGGCTTTGTTATAGGCATGCTGTGTTATGCTGTATTATCGCTCTCATTGGTATGTCTATCATCTACCACTGTTTCATGACGTCTGGTGTATAATATATATATATGTCTTGAGTTTGTGTGCTTGAGTCTGTAAATCTTTCTGTTTTCAGGCATACTGCATAAATACAGACAGGTGCATGGATTACGGCAGCACAGAGCACACCAATTTGTAAACTGAGATAACGGAAACTGCACACATTCATTACTTTGTCTCCGTTTGTAATCATCTTGTGTAATTATGTTCTGGAAAATATTTTAGCTTAGCTTGAAAGTACGTCAGAGAAATCTTTCCTAAAATTCATTGTTTTAAAATAAAAAAACAAGTGGAAACCAAACTGAACTGACGGTCAGTGATGACATTTCAAGACGTTTACACATTTTTGAGGGAAGGACGGTAAATAAAACAGAAAAAGGAGGTAATAACGGACAACATTAAGGGACAGCACTGGGGGGAAGAGGGTGGAATTCGGTCACTTGAGATGACTGTGGGGTCCTTACCAAGATAGAACTGTTAATGCTGGAATGGCCATTAGCAGGGGACTGTCTGGAGGTGGTAGGGGACTCTTTCTGTAATAAGATACAGAGGTCAGCGATACAGCAGACAGACAGCAACCTGGACACTAGCCATCATTACAGTAACAGATGGGGAAAAACATTATGTTGGCGACACCAGATTTCATGTTTGTTTTTTTTTTCTCCCATAAAACACTTGGATTTAACTTCCTGCCTTAATATAAACTTTCACCAGAGGGGGGCGCTGAATTAACACTTAATTCTGCAGCTTTCAGGGGCTTTCAAGTTGGTAAGTACTAGGTTAATATGACTCACATGTTTAAAATTCTTAAAAATGAAGATGCCAGTAGAAGTGATGCTGCAGAAGAACCAACTTTAGCTCCCAAAGTAACTGAAAATGTGTTCACTCAAAACACACTTATAAGAGAAGCCAGTGAGCAGAGTGTTTTGTGTCAAAAGGTTCATAGGTTGATTTATTGATTCTGGGGCAAAGACAGGGATGGGGTCTCCTGGATGCACGTTTTTAAATTAGTTGCAGCTCTGGGCTTCCAAGTGGCACCACCACCTACACTGCAAAAAAATGATATCTTGGTAAACTACATCATCTTAAATGTAGACAATATATCTAATATTTCTCATTTTGAGACTGTTGTAAGAATATTATAAGATTAGTTATTTATTTCAACACTTTTTTTACTGTAAGTGGAGTGATCTTACTATATTGGCAGTTAATGTTGCTTATTTTAAGAATTATGCCTATAAAAACAAAATTAATTGTCAATATAGTGAGATAATTTGGTACAGAGTAATGCACAAGTAATGAGTACCGTAATCTCATCATATTTTGAAAAAAGTGATTAGTAACTTGTAATGAATTATTTTTTTCAGTGTTATACAGTAACATTGTAACTAACCCTGGAGCTATCAATACTAACTATACTAACACTAGCATCATGTACTGCTGAGCCTATGCTTCACTCTATTGTGACTAAAAAATTAAGCTTTGGGAGTGTAAGTTAGTGACAAACTCTTTGTTTTCCCTCTTTTTGCATTTCTCTGCTGTACTTTAGTGACTATATTTGATTTTTCCCTCTTAACACCAGAAAATCACACTGAAGAACCTCCTCTTTGTAATGTAGAATACTGGTTAATTACCTTGTTGATACCGATCTGTCCACTATAACCATGACCGGAGGGTGGCCTACATTAAAATGAGTGAAAATAATCACTGCAATCACAAATAGCAGCTATTTTTCTATTTCTTGTGCAAAATGCAAATAAAAACAGAATGCAGTAACGTGCAAATCATTTAAACTCTATATTTATTTGAAAATACCACAAAGACAGCATATCACCTGTTGGAACCGAAAAACTGTATTTTTTTTAAATATATACCCATTTTGAATTTGATGCCAGCAACACATTTAAAAAAGTTGGAACAGGGGCAGCAAAAGGTGAAGTTGTGCAATGCTGAAAAAAAACCTAGTGGTTAAATTTCAACAAGTCAGTAACATGATTGGATGTAAAAATACATCCCAGACAGACTCTAAAAGTAAAGATGAGGAGGGGTTCACCATTATGTGAAAAACTGTGCAGGCAAATAGTGCAACAATTCAGGAATAACGTTTCTCAACGTAAAATAGCAAAGATCTTGGGGATTTCATCATGTAAGGTACACATTATCATTAAATAATTCAGAGAACCTGGAGAAATCTCTGTATGCAATGGACAAGGCCAAAAACCAGTACTGGCTGGCTGTGATCTTTGGGCCCTCAGGCAACACTGCATTAAAAACAGACATGATTCTGTAGTGGAAATCAGTGCATGGGCTCAGAAACACTTCTGAAAAACAATGTCTGTGAACACAGTTCATCACTGAATCCACAAATGCAAGTTAAAACTCTACCATGCAAACAAGAAACCACACATAAACAGGATCCAGAAACGCCACCACCTTCTCTGGGTCTGAGCTCATTATGAAATGAAAAATATGACAAAGCAGACCCTGAACTGATGAGCAGCTGAAATCATATATCAAGCAAGAATGGGAAAACATTTCACTATCAAAACTACAGCAGTTGGTCTCCTCAGTTCCCAAACGCTTACCAAGTGATGGTAAAGGAAGAGATGATGCAGCACAGTGGTAAACATGCCCCTGTTCAACTTTTTTTGGAATGTGTTGCTAGCATAAAATTTAAAATAGGCATATACTCAAAAAACAATAAAATTTCTCAGTTTAAACATTTGATATGTTGTCTTTGTACTATTTTCAATTAAGTATAGAATTTAGATGATTTGCATATCACTGCATTCTGTTTTTGCAAAGTGCCCAAACGTTTTTGACAATGGGGTTGTAATTTGTGTAAAGATGCCTTTGGCAGACTGGGCCCCTAGGCAGCTGACTACCTTTACCCTGTTCAAAGACCACCCCTAGGCTTTCTGTTCTTTTATTCAGTGCAGGGAAAAAAGTCTACGTTATTTGACCATACACAACTGATGCGGCACAGGGAGGTTAGGTTGATAAATGCTGGAGTATTCCTTGAAAGAACCATTTATTGAAAGGTTCCTTAGGAAACCAAATGTGGTTCTTCTACAGCAAAGAATAATTTTTAGCTGTGTACTGAGTCAGTAAACCCATAGCTATAGCTTCTGTGGGTGAAGTGGGGAAAGGTTGGAAAAACTAATTCTTATTAAACAGGTGGCCTTCCGCACTAAATTATAGAGAACATGATGTCGATTGTGGCTGGTAGCTGCACGGGGCTGATTCAGGGGTGGGTTCCGGTATCTTGGTTGCGAAATTGGTGTGCAGTAGCATGTGAGGCAAGCCCTGCATGACAGAGCATCTCGGGGAGAAAGCGTTAAACACACAGCCACCAGGCAGGCGGTTAGTCACACACAGAGTATCCACAGCAGACCCAGCCCATCCCCACCATACCAAAACCAGGCCAATCGCCCATCAAAGAGAAAGAGAGAGAAGGGTTGGTAATCTAAAGCCCAGGGCCACTGTGGCCTTTACCTCGCAGGATGACTGCTGCGTCCGGTAGCTCGGCACAATCTTAAAGGTAATGCTGCCTCTCATCTCTCGCTGAGGAGTCAAAATACACAGCACAAATCAACAACGCCTTTTAACCCTCCTAGGTCTTATGCAAAAGTTCAAATTCCAAGTTACATTTTTATGCACAATTACTGTTTATTTGCTGAATTTAACATGTTAAAAAAATATATAAGAAGTGACCTGTGCAAAAGTTGTGGCACATTTCATATTTTGTGTTTTTTTTTTCAAATATGTTTAACTCAGCAAATAAATAGAAATTGTGCACTAAAATTTGCAGCAAGTTTGTTCCCTGTAGAGGATGTGTAAAGGTATTTCACTTCAACAAAACATGTAATTTGACTTTTGCATATGATTGTATATGCATTGAAATGATCTTTCTTATATTTTGTTTAAATCTGTCATTAGTGTGAATTCTAAACTTTCAACTGTTCCCACGTTTGTGAGAGAAGTGGATATTTATTATGATTTGAATTTGATGAAAAGTTGTGTACAGTGTGCACAGTCCTGTGTTCTGTGGAAAGAAAAAAAAATTCTTGATGTGTGTCATTTCTTGACATTGTAATAAAAAACAAATGCAGATGTGTTATATATGTTTAAATGTTTATGTTAAGTGTACCAGGTGTATAACAAATCGACAATTATATTAATAATAACGTGCTAATTTATTAACTATATACTTAACAATTAGCCTAGCCCATCTATTTCAACAGCCTACATTCAATACACATATTACATCAATCTGATAAACCATGGCAAAGAAAAAGATGGATTCCTAGTGAAATGTTACATGCTAAACACTCACAAGCATTTTCTGGAGCTGCTCCACCGTCTGATTAGCTACGCTTATGCCGTTGATTTCCCGGATCTCATCTCCAACATGCAATGTGCCTGATTAACAGAAGACAGAGACATTTATCAGTGAGAACATGTAGAAAAATCTTTCAGCTGTGCTGCAGACTGCAACATGTGTGACAGGACTGAAACCAAAGATCAGGGGCCATGGCCTGTCAAGGAAACCAATCCATAATACACAACAATTACCTTTTCCTTAAAGTGTCACGCCACTTAAAAATTAAAATGATGGTTCCTCAAGCGTTCTTTAGTAAAGAAAATGGTTCTACATAGTACCATGAACATTCAAAGAACCCTTTCCATGATTAAGGGGTTCTCTGCATCATGAAAGGGTTCTTCAGGTTGATGGAAAATGTGCTGTACACAGCTACTTCAAGAAAGAAATGGAACATAATCTGAGTGAGTTACAATTAGTTTTTTCATAAATGAAACTAGTTTGCATGCTGTGGGTTTTACATGAAATGAAAAAAAAAAAACTGCCACCTGACACTTCCTTCCTTCCCTCAATCCTTCATTCATTCTTTCATTCCTTCTTTTATTGAATGAATGAATGAATGTATAAATGTCTGACGGCAGTGTATTCTATAATTCCCATTACATGCGCTGCAGACTGTTGTTCCATTATGTCATGCTGTTGCCATGTGGCAACAAAATGCAAAGTATCCCCCAAACCTTTTTTAATTAATTTTAGTACACTACAGAGATAATAGGAAGTGTCAATCATAGAACTTAGATAGATGTATTCAAATCATCGTTACAATACAGAGGATGGATGACTTGTGACTCATGAGATGAGGGATTTCCAATAGTTGTATGACATATCTGCGTAAGTTATGCTGAGCGATACAATGCTGCACTACAGAATACATCACTACATGGGAAATAACATCTTAAATGCTAAGTCTTAGTTTAGATTAATACCCTTTAAGTGAGTGCAGATCTGAAGAGAGCTGATGAGTGACAGTGTGTATGTCATATGTGCGTTGAGTGCGTCAGTGTCATACTAATGCCAACTCCAGAGGGCTCGTACTAGCTCTGTAACAGCAGTGAGACAGGCTGCAGGAATGTGGAACCGTGGTGTCACTGGGCTAGTAAAGAGGTCTGTTGGGGAACACAGTGCGGGAGGGACAAAACTAGTGTGATTTTGAAGCCTGTCCTGTTGCTCAGTTACTCATATGATGAGGTGTATAGTGTTAAAGGCATAAGGAGCTGGAGTGGTGGATTTGCAATGTACCTTGTCTATGAATCATGCCACCGTGCATTATTCTGGCCACGATGCAGTGGTTCAGGTCATTCATCTTCAGCGTGATTCCCTGCAAAGAGAAAGCTGAGCAGTTCTAGCAACACAGTGTCAGTGTGTGTTGGTGTGTATGCTGAGTGGATGGCTCAACCCAAAACGGCGAGATAACACTATCTGAACTTAGCATCAGCCAGAAACCTTACCACAGGATATCAGGTCTAGTGCAGAGAGAAAGAGAAAGAGATGTGGTGGCACATGAGGGAGGAGAGAGAAAGTAAAAGAGCTAGAACGAGGGCAAGAGAGGAAACAGAAAGTTAATGCCCCCTCAGCTTTGATATTTGGACTACATAGGTAGCAAATGCTTTCCTAGAAATGACGAGAATTTTCTACATGAGCAAGTGATTTAGACCAGTGCTTCTCAAACTGGTCACCAGGGACCCTGAGACGGTCCAGATTTTTGCTTCAACCAAACCCTTGGAGCCCACCTGACGGTTACACATTTTTGTTCTATCCCAGACGCACTAGATTAGAGCAAAAACGTGGAATCATCTGGTGGTTTAGACCTTTCACAGTTTAATACTGTCTGATATGAACTTGTATGATACATAGCCACAGGCGAAAGGTTAGGCACCACTGGACAAATTCCATGTTGTGTTGACGTGACATTAGTGAAAATAAGTACATATGATCTACAGAGAACACACTTCTGCACATATTAATGCGCAATTGTTGTTTATTTGCTGAATCTGACATATTGGAAAAAAACCAACACAAAAAGGTGACCTGTGCAAAGCTTAGGGCACATTTGATATTTTATGTAACTCAGCAATTTATTAACTCAGCACATAAACAGAAATTGAACACTAAAATTTGCAACTGTGTTCCCTGTAATGGATGTGTTAACCTATTTTCACACTGAAAACCAACAAAACATGTACTTTGTATACGACTATATATGAAAATGTGTTTGGTTTATTTTCTGATGTATCGAAAGTTTGTTAACCCAGGTACAGCTTATTGAAGGGTGTTATGGGAGACCCCCAATCCTTCATGTAACTTTTTTCTCATTATTGATTTTCACGCAAACTAATATCTGTGAAATCACCTTAATAATTCATGTACACACACAAAATTTCTCATGCATTTTCCAGTGTCGCTCCAAGGAGGATTAGGTCTCTGGGTCCTCTCGAGGTTTCTTCCTGTGAACATAATGTTGCTTGTTACTGTTTTTGCTGTATCAGTGTGACTGCTTGTTAGGAAGTGCAGGTTGATGTTTTGTAGGCTGTTGGTTTTGCGGTTTATGCTTTACCGGGGGGGAAAGAAGCCAGCAGTGTGTTCTCACTTAATGTTGATGCTGAGGTGATCATACTCTATGCTCATCAGAGGGGGCTCGGTGAAGTCACACAAGTTCTCAGAAAGAATGCTCCTCTGATTCAGCTTATGCTGACTGATGCTGCCCAATTATCTTCTATTTAGTCATCAGAATTAAGTTTTATTATGTTTAACAAGTCCAGTCACAGAGGTACTGATAGTTTTGATTTGTTGTTAGACTTTTTCCTTTTTTTTTTAAATCCTTTCTGTTTGTGTGCCTGTAATGCCAAAATGATTTTTGAAGTCAATTTTACATTCTTTCACTTTAAACTCTGATTTCTGAATTTCAGTGTTTTTGTTTTTGGGGCATAACACATTACGGAAGTTATGAATGGGTGGTTTACATTCACTTCTTAATCATTATGTAGTCTTCCTGCTGCAAAATACCCAACAATACAGACCTACGTCACTTCTCATTGTAACGGTAGTAGAAGGAACTGCGGAACAAAAGCTTTCTTCATAATTGGTCAACAATAAAAGTAATTTTGTTGCTATGTTAAACATGCTTTTGTTTTTTTCAGTGAGAGTTTATTGATTTGTGGCCTGTGCTACAGCAGCCTGTGCTACAGCATACTTATATTGTTGGGTAGTGTGAGCAAATTGTATAGAGTGCATTTTACAGTTTTATTTGCTACCATAATTTTGTCTCTGTAAGTGTTGATTAAATGCTACTGATAAAAATTGAATTTGGTTAACAGGCTATAATGTAGAGAGGTTACAAAACTCCCTACTGTGTTACCATAAAAGTATGACAACATGTAATGACTGGTTATGAAAGCAGATAAGTCTATAACACCTGGGTGAAGGTAGTTGTTCTTCAGTGATGTTCTTTGTTTAGAGTATACATACCATAGGCTCGTCTGTGTTCTTCTGGAACTGCACCAAGCGTACTCGGGTGACGTTCTCCAGGTCCATGTCTCCGTTGGTGCTCTCCGGTGAGTCTCCGTTCAGGTAGGGCGAGGTGGGCGGCGGCGTGACCCTCAGTGCCTCATCACTGTACACTTCATGTGCCACCACATCATGAGTCTGGAGTAAGGCCTGATGGGAAAACAGTGACAGATTATGCACATATACTAGCACTGCAAAACGAACTGATGCACAGTGATGCATCAGTTGAAAAATCTTGATTCACACTGTAAACTTTGTATATTAGCTGTCACAACACATCACATATGGGCTTTTATCTCTTGCTCTATTCGCAGCTCAGCTTCCTTGGTCCTGAACCATAGTCATGAACAGGAAACTCATGGCTTTGGTTTGTAATACAGACCTGCTTAGTTTCTTCACTCATAAAATAAGGTGATATCCTTTCCAGTGCAAAGTTGTTAAACACCTTCATAACTTCTTAGAATTACAGACAAAGCCATGTCCCAGCTAGAAGAGAGTGATGAACATTCAGGGACATGGAAAGTGGTCTTGCTGAGGGGGCAACTGCTAAAACTTATTTTAAAAACACAGCTTTCATATAACTTGAGCACAATAAAGACTTATGAACGCTTGTTTAGGGTTGAGTTTGTATTTTTATTTTATATTTTATTTATATATTTTTTAAATCTGTAGCAGCCACGCACTTTTTAAGTTAATGCTGAATTTCCATTACCCCAAACCAAACCATTTCCCCTGCCATCTGTTGGCTGCTTCTACACATGTCACTAAAACACAAGATTTAGCTAAATGATTGAATGGCCCACATAATGAATAAAATAATAAATATTTGTCACTCAGAGAGCCAAGTAAAGTAATGTTTTAGATGAACCACCTTCACAGATATGTATGCATGTGATACTAGTCAACTGAATTAAACTCCCATAAAGGTAAAAGACAAAAGAGACACAGGAGTTTGATGCTCACTCTGGCCAAACAGCGCTGCTATAAAAAGAAGCATTCGTAAAGAATCTGGACAGCATGATTAGACAAAAAGTCTCTCTGAATGAGTGAAATGTGATGATATGTCTTCATAATTTACCAAGTAGAATAAACCAATGCTTTGCTGGCCTGGGGTTGGGGTCAGTATTAGAGTCCTCTCTTGATGCTTAAATCTTTTAGGCAGGATCTTGAAAGCAACCACACCACCCTGAGAGAAATAGCCGATAGCCATGGTATTCAATAAATTGTCATTTTAGTTATGAAAAGGACTGCACTGAGCGTGCTTTATTGAGATATAGACTATATCAAGAAATTGACCTCCTCCCAAGCAATGTTAGCATAATGCCATACTTATTTCTAAATAATTGAATAAGGCAATATTCTTAATAAATAGCCTTATAAATAGTCTTACTGCTGAAAGTGAAGTCATGTCAATGCTTGGTAAATGAACTCAGTGCTGGTGACCATCGATTCTAAGGGCATGCTTTGTGTTGATGGGAATGGGAGGCGGATCAAAGATAAAAAAAAAAGTGTTGCTGTAGTTCACCTACAAAAGCTACAGGTTTGCATATCTTCATTTTTGTCTCATGCACATTTAATTCAACACGATTCAATGTTGTTTGAACCAAATGACTTTTCCAGACTAAACACATAAAATATGCCTACAACATATTAGTGAAAGGATACTGTGTCAAATATACATATACATAAAATATTTTACTTTTGACCGCAAAGAAGAAGAACAAATATCAGCCCAATAAAACAAACAAAAAAAAAAGATTTATATGATACTCTTGCCTATTTATTTTTTATGAGAGCGGATACGGACGGCTCTTATTGTTTAATTCAGGAAGTTTACTTGTGACACTGTTAAAATTAACTCCGCAAAGTGTGAGTTCTTTAAGTGCTGCACAATGGTGCTACATTGCAGGCACCAAGAAGGTAGTACATGAAAACATTTCTGAGAAAAGAAGTTACTTATGGTGCAAAAATAGCCTTTGAGGTGAATGTCAAGAAGCATCTGTCCAACTGCTGCCAAAATTCGCAGATGAGGTTGCTTTGATAACATAAGAAGGCACGTCTTACTTAAACCTGTTCAACAGCATTAAAAATCAGTTACATTTTAATCTGTGTAAGCTTGGGCCCTGTGCTCCCCTAATGTTTGTGTTAGAAAAATCTTCTTTAAGCCTGAGACCACCGATGTCTTTGAAGCTTTTATTCTTGCAGCAAGGGAGCAGTTACACACAGAGTCAAGTCTAGAATGTAATGCTCAAAGTGCTTTGGGTCATGCCCTGTCTTATACCTTTGGAAATGTACGTTTTACTCTTACTCCGCTGAACTATTCTTTAACTTCTGGTTTATCTATTTTCCGATACATCTCTTTTCTTCGAGTCTACCCAAAGGTTAAGTTCTCCTTTCTGTGTACGGTTGTTTCCACTTCTTACTGATAGGAGAGCCCTTCATCTGACCCCAGAGTGTACGCAGTGCACTCTGTCTGAATTCTTCTGCCTACAGAGTTCTAAGCTTAAGCATAACCATATATGGTGATTCAAGCATTAACATAGAGTATAATACTGAATTTTTCTGACAGTTTGTGTTTGTGATAAAGAGTTTCTTGCAAGCACATGCTTTGTTAGCACACCTTTTTTCTAAGTCAAGCCTCAAACACTGAGACAACCATACCTCGATTTACTTGCATGTTCAGACACACAATGATCCAGTAACTCAGGGAATCCAGTTCCAAAGAGCTGAAGGTCACTGTTGCAGCCTCGAGTCAAAATATAGAACAAAGACTACAAATCCTGAAGTCTGTTAGCATTCCACTCAGTCTGAGGGATCACAGCAGTTCACAGCAACTAAACCCACATGGAGCTGGATAGCCCTTGTTCACTGCTAATGAGCAGGCCATGAGTTAGCCTCTGTGCTCTAATCCCATCTGCTCCACCACCAGACCCAACACCGTTTAAAAGCCTGTTTTTGTGTCAGCAGTAATGTGTCCACATGGAGCTCCATGTGACAACAACCTGTACAGCCTGGCACTGGCAACAGCACAGCCATCTGCCCAATAGAGTCAAAGAAGGAATGCAGATTGCTTGGATCTCTGTGTGTAACAAAGCTGTGAATGCACCTCTCATTTAAAACCTAATCTGATATACTGGATTGATACTGGCACAATGATACTGTAACAGTGCAATATTAAAAACCTTCTAAAGTGTTTGCACAATTCTAAAAAGAAAGAAGAAGTGTCTGACCATTTCCATAATGGTACATTAGCCTCTACTGTATATTTATGCGTATGTTACTTTGCATAAGTTTGACATCTTGAAAACATATTCCTGAGCAGGTCTGTTCAGCGTGACAGTTAAAGAGGAATTCTGCTTATTTTTACCTGCATAATTACATTTCTAAGATGTAAACAAAATCATTCAGAGTGGTTTGATGTGAAATTCTCTGTTTTAGAGAAACTTACTGAGTCAGAATTGTTCACAGTGGTGATGATGGGAATCAGACTCCTGACATGGTTAATTCCTTTAAAAGGTTATTGCATGGAATGGTTACAGATACACTGCCTGATGTCTGAGAAACTGCTTTACAACAGTTTTGAGAGAAGGCCTGATTTTTTAAAATTTATTCAGAGAAAAGAGACAAATGCAGGATGTTATAAGGCACAATACGTTTACACTACTTTACCATTACCAGCATAACATCTAAAAACTTCTAGATAGTTCACAAAATGGCTGTATTTGTGTTGCAGACATCTCCATCCCTGGTTGATATCACAAACACTGCAAAAATTCTGAGCCAGTAGGTTTCTCTATAAACCACAATTTCACTTCAAAACACTCTGAACAACTTAATTTACATCCCAACCAATTTTGAAAAATTGCCTAGATCTAAATCTACTTCTGCTAGAGAAATAAACATAATCTAGCTTCTGTCAAAAAACAGGAGTTACTTACCAGATCCCTGGAATTGGATCAATACTCGATATCCAGTGATCCAGAGTTAAGCCAACATAAATATTTAATGTCATGATAATTATACACTTTTATGACAGTTTACAATATTATGACAACACTCTTAAAAAACATATGTATAAGATAAACATCCATGTGTACTGAATGTCACTGTTTAACAGCAATTATGCATTAGTGGTAATGTATTTTGGGACTTCTATCTTGTTTAACTTTAATCCAGCGACGGTATTTTAAAGTGTCCTCAATACTGTGCATGATGATAACAGCAGTAAAAGGAATTATTGTATACTGGAGAGAAAGTTAGACTGGTGCACCCTAAAGGTTCGTATAGAGTCCACACTTCAGCTCCTTACTGTCATATGTACATAATTTACTTTATAACTTCATAACTTTGTAGTATTTACCAAATACTTCACTGTAGTGACTGAATAATTCAGGTTATATCTTTAGAGTAATAACTGAATAATACATCAATAAAAAAGGGGAAATCAAACAATTTCCCAAAATTTCTGCATAATTAAATAGTTAAGATGTAAGTAAAAATTTGATGTGAGAGTCAAAAATGTTCACAGTGGTGGTGAAAGGAACCAGATGTCTGAAGAGTTTAAAACCTCTGAAAGCTCCCTCACAGAAAATTATTCTGATTATATGAAATGGTTATGAATTTGCTGCCTGATGTTTGATGGTATTTTACGGTAGTTTTCAGATAAGATTTTGATGTAAAACATACATAGTTTTTATTTAATCATGGTAGAGAGGTACATGAAGGATTTATCACTATTTCACTATTATCGACATCACATATAAAAACTCAGAAGAGATATGAAGGTTCACAGTTTTTTGGATAGTAAACAATATATTTATATATTTGCATTCCAGACATTGTGACCACTGGTTCCTATCACCACCACTGTAAACTACACTTATGTCTGTAAATTTCGCAACACAATGAACAATTTCACATCAAATCACTCTCAGTGAATTTGTTTACATCTCAACGACTGAATTGGGCCGAAAATTTGACAAATCAGTGGAATTCCCTTTTAATCACAATAGACAACACCATGTACAACATGTTTCTACTACACTTTCCTTTTTGCCTGTTGAAAAAAACCAGCACTGCAGACACTGAAGAGTGAAAAGTGAGAACAGCTTTCATTTCATATAGCAAAACAGCCAAGCACACGCAAGTCA